TTGTATATATATATATATATATATATATATATATATATATATATATATATATATATATATATATAATAAATTTAAGTAGCTAATTTTATAGTCGGTTTGGTTCGGTTTTTTTCGATTAAAATCAAAACCAAATCAAATTTGATCGATTTTTAAAATTCAAAACCAAAACCAAACCTAAAAAGTGTCCTTTTGTTTGGTCGGTTGGTTCGGTTTTTCGGACACCCCTACTGGGGTTCCCCGACAAAATTTTAGTTCCACCTAATATATATATATAATAATAAATTATATATTATATATATATATATATATATATATATATATATATATATTATATATATCATTACTATTATATAAGAAGGATAAGGAGTGTATGGTCAACATGCCTGCTTGGCACATCAAGGCGTTTCGGTAACTTCACTTAAAATGAGCAATGTGATTGGCCAAAAGATAGATTACTGTAGCTGCCATATAAATCTTTGAGTGACTTGACCAAATTACCCCTTGCTTATTCTCATCATACATCACCATAGTTTCCAAAACTTTATTGAAGTGGTCCATCTGAGTCTTTGCTTTACACTTCCTATCATTTTGCAAGCGTAGAACCATTTGTATTGTACAACTTATTGAAGAAATGGCCCACTGAAGTTCTTATTTATACGTGAGTATTAGTTTGCACCTTAACAGTCATTTGAAACACTTAGTGAAAAATTTAGTTTAAGTGTACCAAATATAAAACTAAAGGTGAAAACTACATAAAAATACTTACAATTCTAATGATCTTTATACGTAGATTTACCTTTAAACTTAAACCTATAATTTACGTATCAACTTTTACGTCGAAGACTTTCGACTTTTATTTAGAGAAAATATAATTAAACGTACAAAGAAAGTACTTGAATGGAAAAAAACAATAGAATATTTGGCAATATGTATGAGTTTAACATAAATATCTTAAGATTAGATTATATTGTTAGTAGCTTTTATTCATTTACAGTTATAATGTGAATTCCATCTAACCATCATCAAAAAAGGTGAAAGGAATTTATTTGAAGTTGGAATTATATAAATTTAACTTTCGCCTTCTCACAAATTTATAATTAATCATGTCTAGCTTATTCTTTGGGCACTTGTAGTCTCAATTTTTTCCTTCTTAAACATGAACTTCATAATAAATAAAAAATATATTTTTATATTTTTTCAAAGTTTTTCCTTCGTAATAAAGAAAAATATATCTAACTTCAACATATTTATTTTTAAAATCTATTAAATTAAAATTAGAGTCCTTCTTTTGGTAAACAAGGGAAGCTCATGGTTTTAGATTAAAATTAATCTTTCATTTCTACCAATGTAAATTAATATTAATCCAACTTTAGCAATACTCATCTCTAAAATCTTATTAAAAAAAATAGTAGAACAAAATAGAATCCAACTTAACGTCAAAAAGAAAAATAATTAATGACCTTGCTTGTAAAGTTATTTTTCTAATTAATTTTTAAATAGCTTTAAAGGGTATATATATAGGCTTTTGAGGCATTATATGGTGTCTTACCAGTACATTTAGTAGCTTTTATGGACTTTTCTATGATCGACAATACATTTTATTTAGGCTAATTTAATTTGAAAAAAGTAATTAAGACTTTAAAAAAATCAAAAAGGCATTAATTAGTATTTTCCCAAATTATCCTTGAACCAATAAATAATCTACAAAATATGAATATATACAAAGAGTAATTTAAGAAGATATAAAGGATAACTTAATTCGATAACATTTTTATTAATGCTATTAAATGATTCTTTTAATGGTTATGTCAAAGCTTAGAAGTACTTATTTTGAACAAAAGTAGCATCGTCTAAGAAACTATCCATAACTATTTTAATAACTTGATATTTTAAGTAAAATTTTATATTACCGGTGCATATAAATTAAGTAGAAAATTTATACACATACTAATTAGCACAACCTAAACATAGTATTATTGGGCCCAATGCTTAAGCATAGTATTATTGGGTCCATGCTAAGCATGGGCCATCCTTACTAGTATATATATAAAGTTGGTCGACCAAGGGCAAAGTTGTCATTTCAACATCTCAGGCCAGTTCTTTTTTGATTGTCACTTTTCGGTCTCATTTTAGGCTCTTCGTCTCTCTCTCTCTCTCTCTCTCTCACACACACACAGTCTCTCTCAAACTCTCCGATCATTATTCGTCTAGAATTTTCTTTTGTTTCTAAACCGTAAAATTCGACTTTGATTTGTGGAATCTCAAACAAAAGTGGCGTTGCTTGAAATTTGAGTTCGATTTATTGAGTTCTTAACCAAGTATTTGAATGCTGAAATTGGGTTTCGCTTGCTCTGAAGGTCCAACTGCTTCAAAAAGGTAATTGATTAATTCAAGTGTTTGCATCTATTTTTTTGGTTATAAATTTGTAATTAAGCTTTTATTCTTTCTTGGGATTCTGTAATTTCACCAGGATTCTAAATTGGGATGTTAGAATAGTGTAAATAAACAAATCAGCATTATAATCAGATTCAAATAGTAGAGCTGCAGTAAAAACCGACATTACTGGTAACTCCGCCGCCCTAACGAATGGCTTCAGCAGAAAGGCCAAGTTTTTCGCTCCTTCATTCTATGAAGTTGTTGATACACGTATTCTTGCATATATAAACAAGTATGTTTAACAGTACTCATACCGTGTAGAAGTATTAGAAAATCCTTCCACGAAGATTAGGCACATATTTTACGTTCTCTTTCTGTTTTTGTTGTGCCAAGTATATTTAGAGGTAAACCGATCATTCATTTTATTTTTTATGCTCTTAGATATCCTGTTCTCTTATCTTTTGTATCAACACCTTCTTGGTGCTTCCAGTGATGAATACACCTTACGTGCATCAAATATAAAGCTTATTGTCAATGCGATGACTGTTTACAGATAGTATGAGCCTTTTAACTTTTTTGTTATGTCATTAGACAAGAAATATTAGTAATCAATCTTGAATTGGAGTTACTCGACTTATCTTGAATATAATTATGTGTGAGTTTATGATGTACCAATTTCAGGTGCATTAAGCATTAGCAAAAAGCATTAGCTGCTCGTGTTCTTACCTTTTTAGTATAAAAAGTAGCTAAAAAGTGTTGAATGCAAAAGATTTGGTTGTGCTTGTTACATCTAACTTTATTTTGTTTATCTGATGATATTTGAAAATCAATGACTTCTAAACATATGGTACAGTTTTCACATTCTTTTTTGGTTATAACATTCTTGTGAATTCCTTTTCTTGACAAAAGATAAAGGCATGAAGCCACTTCTTTTCATTTAATTCTGTGTTAGTTAAACTGAATGTGGACAGAAATCCTAATTTTGAGTTGTTGAATAGGATTGTTTCTATACAACTGTGCTTTTAAATAATTTTTTGATTTCTCGGGCTTACATGTATGTTCTTTTAGGAGATGGTTGCTTTGGTTAGATGATGTTTAAAAAAACAGTTGAGGTTCTGTAAAGAATGGGGGCAAACTTTTGGAGTTCCAAATGGATTCAATAAAGGCCATAATGCAAGATATTAAGGCTGACATTTCAGTGTTTAATGCAATAGCTTTTGATGCAATAAATAAAATGTGTTTCATTCGATCTTTGGATGTTTGAATGCTTTCACATGATATTTTTTCTAATCTTTGAGTGTTTGAGTTAATAATATTGATAATAAGGCCAATGTGTTAATTAGTTAAGCTCATCTTGTAACAATAATGTGAGATAACATGTGAAGTTTAACTTGAATGTCGTTGATGTTTTAGGCACACTAATAGATTAACTATTTGATTATATAGCACGTCCACTTGATTGAGATTCTAAGGATTGCTTGGGAGAAGAGCATTGAGATTAGAATACACAGGAATTTATGCTACTTACCTTTAAAAAAAGGAAAAAAGAAAAAGATAATATATCAGCATTTGAATAGTTTTTTTCTCCTGTTTTTGCATGCCTATATTGTACTAGCACTCTGCTCTAATCTTATTCTTCTTTTGATAGTTTGAATGGTTTTACCAGTCTTCAACTATGATCGAAGCAGTTTCCCGTTCAAGATGATATTTATTTTTTCACCAGTTGTTAATAGTGGTCCTCTTTTTTAAAGGAACTGCCCAGCTTGGTTTTGAGTGGAAATGGTTATATATGCTCAAACACGATTACATAAGAAAGAGAACTTTGAGCCTACCTTCTCCGAAACAATGTACCGCCACCCAATTCTTAAAATCTAAGATCACGAAGAACTCCATTTACATTAGCTCTGTACAACCTTATCATTCCTAACTTAGACATGTATTCTTGTTATTAGTTTTTAAAAATAGTATATCCTTTTTGCTGTTTAGACCTGAAAGATGATAATTGCAAGCAATTTATCCATCCTTAACCGCCCTTTAACCTCTTCAGGCAGCTCCCTCCATCTATGTATAAAAATACCTCATTTTAGGGAGGTAAGAAGTTGATAAACTTTTCTTCCTTTTATATTCATTAATCTCACGAGCACAGTGACCATGGTAAAAGAAATTCAAATGGCCAATTGAAATTTTATTTACTTATTTAAATTTTGTTTACCAATCAAACTTTTGTATCTTATTAATTTTGAACTACTCATGAGAATGGGGTAAATGATAATGGCAACAAATCGAATTTTGCTAGAAAGGGTGTAACTTTTGACATATATTTCAGGAATGCATGTGCTATAGTCAAAGAGTGCAAGAGTAAGCCCTCCTAAAGTTGTTACACTCAAAATTTGGTAGACCTTTTAAATCTTGTCTGATTTTCTTTTTTCCCGCTTACTAAATATTGTAGGCCAATTGTTTCAATCCATTAAACTTTGAATTCTTGAATTGCATTAGCAAACTACTCTTTTAGCTGATACTTTTGAATGGTAATCTGCACCCAAAAAGAATAAAAAGAAGGGTGTATAATAGTTTCTACTCTATCACTTTTGCTTATCAGGATGTTTAATCCCTTTTATTGAGTAATGATTAAAAAGCTTAAGATATCTTTGGCCAGGATTTATTATGATCTGTGCTATACAGTAATGTATTTCTCAGAAGTTTGATATTTGGAACAGACAGAAAAGAATTTATGCAGAATCTGACAAGTGAAATTCTATTCCACCCAAAGTCTGTAGCACGAAGCTCTGAAAATTTTCTCCAGAGGTTCAGGCTCCCAAAACTGCCATGGTTCACCAAGTGAATTCTCTAGGAATGTCGATCTTGCTGTGATTGTTCTAAGATGAGATCTAGAAGTCTGAAAACGGTTTCTTTAAAGAACATTCTATGTGTTCCTTATGCGTCATGTTTTAGTGATACTTGCACAGTTTAAAAGCAACATGTCATCTTCATTTAATCTATTGCAAGATCCATTATCTTGAGTTTAAAATTTTTGTTTTTCAGTTAATTTTTCATTCCAGTTACTGTATTTGTATCTTTTGTTATTGGTAAAAAGAGGATAATTATATAAGAATAAGCTGCATTTAAGTTGCGTGATGCATTTTACGTTCTCTATTAAGTTCTTTTCTTTTTCCAGTGCACATATGCCAATTATTTGATGCTGACAACTCTAAATTGACCAGTACCTACGGAAAAAAATTAGGAGCGGAAAAGGCATATGCATAAAAAAAATATCAAAGCTGGCTTTGGGCCCGGGCTACTTATATCTAGTGATATGATATAAAAGATATTTGCACGTCCTTTATGAGATAATTAAAGCTAAAATCCTTATAATAAGCATTAAATGATAGTACATGGTTAAAATAGTAACTAATTAACATATTATAGTCAGGTATAACGATTCCTTTTATCTTCAGATATCTTCCATTAATTTTTCGTTAACTAATTCGCTCCAGAAAGTCTTAGAAAAGTTCTCTCCTGTCTTTTCTAGATTCAGACAATTGTACATTAATCTATGCATTAATTCTTTTCTATTGTTTTCTTATCTTTTATCGTAACGGCTATGGTTTTGAAAGAAACAAAATGAAGACTTTTTTTAATCTGAAGATGGTTATAGTTTCGAAATAATAAAAATTAGTTACTGATTAAACATCTTTCTTTAAGTACCATCAGATTCTCTCTCCCCACTTCTGTTTTCAGTTCATGCTACTAGGACAAAACATAAAATTGATGTCCCAATTTCCCATATATATATATATATATATGTATATGTTAACTTCTAGATATCTATGTTTTCGTGATTTTTTCTTCTCTTAGATGTTGGACTTCCAAAGAGGACTGTTAACAGAAGATTAACAAGCTTGTGTCGCAGAAATCTACGTAGCCTTTCTTTCCTCTTGCCTTTTCATATTATTTCTGGCACTAATCCCTAATATCTTTGGAGTTTGGATAGTCAGCGTTAAGTGTGCCTTTAGATGGGATGAGATGATCATTAATTAATTAATGAGAAGCTCTATGTTTTTAATTAATTGGTCTACGAGCATGTCTGTCAGTTCCTTTGAACTTGCCTTACCAAGAACTAGGGTTTCTGTTGAGATATCTGCTGGTTTATCACCCCATCTATGAAAATATATATAGCCACTATTTTACTGATTTTATTCTTGAAATTTACGTTAGTTATAGAACATAATGGACTTTCTAATAGCTTTTCGTTTCACTAGCTACTGCGTTAGGTTTGACGAAAGTCATGGACATTTTCCATGGAAAATATTTGAGTGAAAATGTTCTTTTAATTAATTTGATAGTATTTGATTTCGCCTCTTTTTTAAGCAACAAAAAACACACAGAAAATCTCTCACACACAAGTTTGTCGTCCTCTGATATCCTTATTTTTTCGTTTGTGATTCTTAAAAATACCATGCTCATGAGTCATGACAGACAAAAAAATTTATCTGTTTTCATTTATTTTAAGTGTTGGTGCGCAGATTTATTCGAAATTATATTAGAAGAAGGTAGTTATTATGTAGAACTAGTTTTAGTGTACGTGCGTTACACGTCTGTATTGCGTTAATCAATATAAACTTTATATAAATTAGTGAAAAATGGCAATGGAGATTAAACTAAGCGCATCATGTGTTTAAATGATGAAAATAAATACTATTACATTGACACAATATAGTTGAATTTAATATTTTCCGAATAAATTTAGTATAATTAGTTCTATGGTATTTATAGTTATAAATATTTTATTATATAAGATACAAATATGCTATGTTATTGTATCTCATCTAGAATCTTTTTTATAAACTCTTCATTCATTATACAAGATTCAAAGTTAATCAAAATTATAGATAGGCTATAAGCTGACTTCTTTTTGTGTAAAAAGGTTGCCTAGATTCTTATTGATCTAAGTCTAAATTCCTTCTTTGCACGTTCATCTAACACCAAATAAAAGTTAATGCTATCCTAAACTCGCTCCAAATAAACTCTGCCAATAACAACTTTCAAATTTTAAGAGTTCACCACGTTGAAGTCAATTTTGCAAAATTATAGGGAAAAAGTTACAGATTTATAGTTATTTCAAAAGTTTCAAATACATTAGTTCATCTTAAATTTGAAAAATTAACTGTATTTACAATTTCACATAGTATTGCTGTAGCTTAGTTTATTTTTTAAAGTAACGTCATATTAGTTTAGACTTCTAGAAATTTAAACATAAGATTAAATCAAAACTCTTAAAATGTTAACAGGAAAAAAGTGAACAATATGCATTGATGATGGATGATCTATATTTTTAGGTAATCAATTATCAGTAATTTGAAAAAAAAATAATACTATATACTTTAAGAGGCTAAGAATAAAAAGAACTTTAATGGCCACGTATTAAACTCCAAAAGGAAACTTATAAAATCTGGTCCAAGAAGGAAAGATAATAAGGTAAATTTTAATTGATTTTGGAGTCCTAAACATTAAGAAAATAATTAAATGACTATTTTGTCTAGTGTGAAATCAACTTTTAAAGAGTAAAAAAGGCGAATGACATTTCGATAGGGCCTTCATGCTTTTAAAGCAAATTGATCATTTATTATGGACAGAAGAGAGTACTAAGTAGGATAATAGAGGCATGACCAATTGATTTGAACACTCAACAATAACAACAACAACATACCCAATAAAATTCCGCTATTTTAGTTCCTATTCTACATTTCTACCTTTTTTATTGATTTGAACACTCAACAACAACAACATACCCAATAAAATCCACTATTTTAGTTCCTATTCTACATTTCTACCTCTTTTGGATGATCTCCACTATAACTAAACTTTTCAAGCAGCATAGAACCAGAGAAAACTCAATTGACGAAAGTCAGCCAATCAGTCACACGTGGTGTTGGTCATCTCTGGGCCAAATAAAGTATCAACCTTTTATTAGGGATGTTAACTTTAAGCAACAATATTGTTGTCTTTTCTCTTTCAATTTTGTTCATGACTTAAAAACTTTTAGAAAAGAATGTCGTCTTTTCCTCTTTCAATTTTGGTCATGACAATTTAGTAATGAAGCAAAATGCACATAGTCCAATAAAAAAGTAGGGAAGCAAACTTACTGGGTGTTTGTTGAGCTGTGACTCACAATCAATAGGTGCACCCTTTTCGGTTGTGCGAGTAGTGACCATATTTTGTTGTCTAAATTCACTAGTCTAATTAATTTAGATTCGTGTTGCATAAGAATTATCAAACAAAGAAGCTTTCTCTAGCTAACTATCCGAAGTTTTTGGATTCATAAAATTTAGACCTTTAGACTTTTAATTAAAGAAACCACATTTATTTTGTCACAATTTTTAATAATTCCAACATTTAAATTAGATAAATGAGAAGGAAAGGAAAATCAGCAAATACTAGACTGGTCATTTCAATACCTCACATTCTTTTTGGAATTGCTTTGACCTTCACCTTTCAGCCCTTTTGAGGTGACCTTATTCTCTTGTTAATGCTATCTCCTAAAGGCTAAGAAAGCCCACCAACTTACTTTTTATCTACCTTTCCCTTACAGCTACTGATAAGATTTGTTTCCCCCGTGATTGGGTTGATATGATTTTATTTACTGTGTTTGAATGAAATGATTTAAAAGGACCGATAGGGATAAAATAATGCTGAAATGAGAGACGGATCCAAAATAGAGTCCGGAATCAAAATATTGCTTTTTCGGACTCAAAGTACAAAAATAGGTGGAAAAAAAAACTGATAACCAAAGTATATATAACGCAGTCTTTTAATGCGCTATACCTTAACGGCACGTTTGTCCGTTAAGGTATAGCGCATTTGGTTACATAAATTGAAAAGACAGGTGGATATAGCGCATCCAATATATGCGCTATACCTATATAAAATATCGGGCCCGTCTCCTTCCCCGACCCGACAGAAGCAGAAGGTGAAAAGCTCTCCCCCCCCCCCCCCCCCCCCCATTTTTTAACCAAAAAATTTCATTGGAGCCCACCCGTCCCTCAAAAATTGTGTCTTCTCCGTATTTTAGCAAGCTAACACCGGATCAGAGGCATTGTCGTGTAGTGAATCTCGTCTATTGCTCGTTTAGACTCCCAAATCATCAAATTTTCACATTTCAAAAAACTCTATATCGAGGTATTCCGACTTACTTTTTGGTAAAACTCATGTATATACAATGCTTATTAGTTGTTATTTACTGTGTTGTATATTTTTTTGTGATCGTTTTGTGATTTAATTTTTTCTTTATCCGGATTAGTTTATTTATGTGCTTCAATATTAGTAAAAATATATATTGTTATTTTATGAATAATTATTGTTTTATGTGATTTTATTATTGTACGTATACTAATATGTGACTTTATTGTTATTTAGTGCCCTTTAGTATTATGTTGTGCCCTTAGTTGTTATGTAGTGCCCTTTAGCATAGTAAAATTTATAATAAATTTTAACTAATGGTAGTTGACTTTATTTATGGCCATTTAGAGTAGTGTTACTTTAGTGCTCTTTAAGATTCCATTGTGTTGAATAAAAACTACGTGCTCTCCTCAACAAACTCGGATAGAGTACTCAATTATGGATTCAATGTATTAGTAGATAATTATCAAATATTAGATATGAATCATAAAATAATCTGTTGACGTTACAAAATATACGCTACCGGGAAATTTGGGCAAAATATGATAGTTAACAAATAAATCGTTACGAATGAAACAAATTCAATATTATTTTAAGTTTGTAGTATTTTTTATATGAGAAATTATTGAATATATCTTAATTACTTATGAAATTTTAATATTTAATTATGTTATAATTCAAAAATAACTTAAAAAAGATGATAGTTCAAACAAAATCATGTAGAATTTTAGTAGAAAAATGTAGGATATTAACATATGAAATATTAATATAGGAAATTTATCAACCTAAGTATTTGTTATGTGAATAATTACAAAAATATCTTTTTAGTTATTGAAATTAATTATTTAATTCTCTGTTAACACCAAAAAGATCTAAAAAAAAAAAATGATAGTTCAAACAAAAACCCTCTCAAATTTTAGCAAAAATGTAAGATAATAATACATAAAACAACAATATAGAAAATTTGTCAAACTAAATATTTTTATATGAAAACTTATTAATTATATCATGTATAATTGTGAAAATTAATTATTTAATTCTATTATACCCCAGAAACAGCTGAAAAAGATGATAGTTCAAACAAAACCCTGCCGAATATAATGTTAAACAATTAAACAGAAAATCAATGCACCTCGATGTTCCAACAGAGCATTGTGTCGCTATTCAGGCGCAGGTTTGTTTGTATTACATTATTTCAATTTGTTTTCACCTTATAGGTTAGTCAGTAATATCTAAAGTATTTTTATTTTTTTAAAAATTTCGTCATCGCCCGTCACGGAGGCCACCTTAAAAATCAACGCAAAACTAATAACAAAATGCTAAATAATTTAAGCAGACAAATATTTTGGAAGACCGGAAGGATCCTGAATGGGTTTTCCACGAAATATTGATCCTCCTTAAATAAGCAAAAAACCAGTCCGGGGTACAATAATTGAGGGTATAGCGCATGCATCATAGGCGTTATATATAGCACCAATTATGCATGCGCTATACCCTCAATTATGGTGGGCCAGTAAAGTTCAGATGAATTATTCGTGGGTCGGTAAAATTTACATATAGCGCATGTAACACATGCGATATACATAGCGCCTATTATGCATGCGCTATACCCTGCGAGATCACGCCCGCGAGGTCGAGGCTCGACATCATCTCCCTTATTACATGGATTTGTTAGATTTACCTGAAGGCGATCAAGTACATATATACTTAAGTTTACTTGGTCTGGTTTGATATATGTTGCATTTACTCACGGTTTTTCTGTTTAATAAATAGTTCGTATGGAGGCCAAAAAGCGACGCGCTCATAGCTGGATTGCCAGATTATTGCCCCCGCGGTCGAGTTATGTGGAGCTCTTCGTCCCACTTATATGTCTTGATATAGTCAAGCATCATGCTACCGATCGAGTCCTTCGCCAGTTTGGTCGACCCCAGCTTGTACCTATTCTGCCCACTTGGCACATGACACATTACCAGCGGGATGATCGTTGCAGGGTCGACCAGACATACTTGGCCTGGCTAGAGGCCCAGATTGAGAATTGGGTCCAGAGGTATGGCCTGATTCCGCCATACCCTCCACCTGACCGTATGGAGGGCGAGCATGAGTACATGGATTGGTATCGCAGCGTTACCCGACTTCTCGTCGGAAATTCCGTTCATCGCTCTGGTGGTCGGTACATTCCATACGTCGTGAGGCATAAGGCACTGGTATGTTATTTGTTATACTTACTTATAATGTTACATTATCCTTCCGCAATTAATATTTTATATGCTATGCAGGCTATTGGCTTACACCAGTTCTACCAGTACTGGAGATGCTACAACATACAGGCGAGGGAGCGGCAGTTGTTCACGGGTTTGGCCATTAGGTGACTGATCTTGCTACTGCAACATTGAGACGTGCCAGAGAGGATACACACTTAGGATACGAGGCTGCTTATGTGCCGCCCGAGGAGTACCATCATGGGCCACCAGTGGAGCCTGAACGTGATAGACGTCGCAGGCATGGCCAGAGAGGAAGGGGTGGCCCACGTGGTCGGCGAGGACGGGGTCCCCAACAAGGGAGTGTTGAGGCACGCGTGGAGGATTAGAGATGATTAGCCGGGTGACCACCCTGAGATGCACGATGCTCCTCATGATATGCCGTCATTCAGCCTTCAGCTGTCACCAGGGACTTCGCAGGTGACCCCTCCATTGTTGATCGCGGGCATGGCCATTACGCAGCAAGAGTGGGATTAGTATTTTCCTGATCGTCCAGAGCCATCGACGGTTGTTGTTGATCGTCTAATATGAGAGGTGCATAGTAGACGACAACTGAGTTATGGCTCATCACCGAGGGATGCTGAGGATCTTTCACATACTTCATCTACTCCAGTGCACCTCGATGCTCCGACAGAGCATTGTCAGGCGCAGGTTTGTTTGTATTACTATAATTTCAATTTGTTTTTATCTTATAGATTAGTCAATAATATCTAAAGTGTTTTTATTTTTTTTTTAAATATTTCGTCATCGCCCGTCATGGAGGCCACCTTAAAAATCAACGCAAACTAATAACAATATGCAAAATAAGTTAAGCAAACAAACATTTCGGAAGACCTAAAGGATCCTGAATGGATTTTCCCCGAAATTCTGATCCTCCTTAAATAAGCAAAAAAACAGTCCGGAAGTACAATAATTGAGGGTATAGAGTATGCATCATAGGCATTATATATATAGCGCCTATGATGCACAGAGGCGGAGATAGAATTTCAAGCTTATGGGTTCAAGATTCTAAGCCTTTTAAGTTACTGGATTCTAAACTATTAATTTATAACTAATTAATGAATTTTTCAAGACAAATACAGGAATTGAATCAAAGCTACTGGGTTCGCCGAACCCGGAGCCACAATGCTGGCTCCGCCCCTGATGATGCATGCGCTATACTCTCAATTATTGATGGGTCAGTAAAGTTCAGATGAATTATTGATGGGTTAGTAAAGTTTACTTATAGCGCATGTAACACATGCATTAAGGTATTGCGCATTGAATAAATGCGTTATATATACTTTGGTTATAGTTCTTTTTTTCACCTATTTTTGTGCTTTGAGTCCAAAGAAAAAGGGTAATTTTTTGGTTCCGAACGCGCCAAAATACTATTCAACCATTGAGTTGGTAAAATAAGAGAGGTAAACTAGAGTTTGCTAATGTCTATTACTCCTATAGGAGAAGATATGAAACAAAATTGCGAAAATGTCCATGTACCATATGTGTATAGCAGAAACGTTGGGTAAACTGTAAAGTCAATTTATAAAAGTCAGTCGCATCCTGTCGGATGTAGTGATATATACTGCTAGCTTTGTCTCGTAGGTCAATTTATAAAGTCAGTTCTTTCCTGTACATACATTACGTTTTACAATTTGTTTCATTTTTCTTGTGTCATTTGGTAATTTGGGCAAGTTCATTAGAAAATCTTGGTACTTTTTAGCATGGTGTATCCCAAGTCTAAAATGTGACTTTCTTGAAATAAAAAGGTTACCAGCTACATTTACTTCTTTTAATGCAACAAAAAGCTCCCTCTAACAAAACGAAAAAGTAGACCACTATAAAGGCAGTACTTACTGCTTTCTAAATTATAAGTCACTAGTCGAACACTCACACCCGAGGAGTGCAATGGGATAGATATAATTCATTCCTTCTTAATTATATTAGATAAATTGGAATAAATTCTTATTTTGAATTTTTAAAAGGACTTCGGAAGAAGAGACTTGGAGAAGGACATCTTTGTTATTTTAGCATTTTATCCTAGGATTAGTAACATCGGGATTGTTATCCCACCCCAATGTGGGATAAAATAATACTACAATTACAATCCCGAATTATTAATTCTGGATTTAAAAATGCAATCAAGCACGGGATAAAATAATTATGCATTTCATCCTATCCCACCAACCAAACGATCCATAAGTGACTAGTCAAAGTCCCACCATCGAGGAATATAGTGGGATGGATGGAATATTGTCACTCTTAATCAGATATCTCGCATTTAAATTTGAGAATGAAAAAATACTTGATTTGAAGCGCTTCCTTCAATAGGCCTTATACGCTGCGGACCCGAATTAGTCGAATCAATAAGTACCTGAATGGTTAAACAAAAAAGACTAGTCAAAGACTCAAAATAAGCCACATGTTTAAAGAACCACAAGTAATTGAATGCATGAGTGCATGCGCTCATAAATAAGCTCATGTCGCACCATACTTTGTAATAAAAAAATCTGAAAGCCACAACACATAGTGCGCAAAAGGAATATTATCAGATTGAACCAATTTGTCCTATGGTCAAAATTAGATTTTTGATTCATTTTTTTAGGAATACTTGTGGTGACTAGGTGAGTAGTCTCAATCTTTTAGCAGGCATTCTTGTTGTTACCAATTAAATGTTTCTTGGATTTAGTCATAACCTGGTCTTCTATTCTTCTGTTTGGGCAGTTGTCAATTTCTGTTGGATATACATAGCTGCAATTAATGCTGTTTCAGTGAATTTTAAAAAATGTGGGGTCTTTTGGCAATATGCTTAGTTCGTTTTCAATTGTAAAAGGAATTTGCATGGTTCTTGTTCAAAAGCTGTTGTTGAGTTTTATGAAAGTTAAAGCCTCAGAATACAATCATTCACCAGGTATTTCTATTCTAATTTTCAGAAAAAGATCCTCTGTTGTCATCTTTTGATACTATTAAATTTTGGAGCAATGAATAAACAGTTTGACTGAACTTTCACTGAAACAGTTTACTTTTCACATTGACAATTAGCAGTTAGACAAATGGAGGAAGAAAAGCATAGTGAATTCTGCAAATCTTCATACCATTTTGACTTGGTGAGGATTTTATTTACTACTTACCTTTTTTTTCCTTTGTACTAAGCAGAGTCTTGATTTTTCCTTCAAATAATTTTATTACTATGTGAATAGGATACTGGGCTAGAGAAGAACTATGTAGAGCAGAAGAAAAGACAATTACCTGGCTGTGATTCTTCTAAGGATGAGATTAATGTAAGAAGCTTTTTACTGGATATTTATTTGTGTTGTGCTTGTTATGAGACAAGTAATTTCCAGAAAATATTTTTCGGAAAATGACTTATTTTCTGGTATTTGGTTGGAGGGTCGAAAATATTAATGACTCTTTTCTTGTTTAAGCTGAGGTCAATCGGAAACAGCTTCTCTACCTTTATAAGGTAGGGGTAAGGTCTGCGTACACACTACCCTACCCTGACCCCACTTGTGGGATTACACTGGATTTGTTGTTGTTGTTGTTGTTGTTGTTGTTTCTTGTTTAAGGAAAAGAAGAGTATTTGCAAGCTTGAGAAATTGAGCTAGACTGTTAAGAGGAATTTGAATGCTAGGAGAAATACTTGTCTTAGAATAAATCCATCTTTTGCTCAGTAAATTTTCTTTCTTCTTCTTCTTCTTCTTCTTCTTATTTCAGTCTGTTCATGAGGATCTGATTAGAGAAATTGCACTTCTGGAGCTGGATATTATGTATTTGGAGAAATATCTTCTTTCAATGTATAGGAAAACATTTTCCAAACGGTTAGAATCACTGTCTATGAAAGATGAAAGGAAGTTTTCAGAAGTGAAGGAGCAAAATGGCAAGTCAAAGGAAAATCTAGTGACTAATACTAGTCCTATTTTGCCACCTTTGAGTAATCCAATCAAAGAATGTGATGACACACAAAAACTAGTTGATTCTACCATTTTGAGATGCCATTCTTCCCTATCACATGCTGCCTTTTCCTTCAGAGCTTCACCTTCAGTTGCAGCTCTTGCCGAGGCGGTCGACTCATACCATTCTTTGCCTTTGTCAATGCTCGAGGTAAGTAGTGATGTAGAAAAAGAACCATGTTATAAATTTTTTTAACAAGCTCTTGTAACTATAATCATCAACAATAGTGTTGATGCCCTCCTACTTGGAGCAAGAGAAGGAGGTGGCTTGGTCAGCATATAAGCGATCCACAACCTCACGAGCTAACTTTTGTGGTTGAAGTTAGGCGGATCGGTGACAGAGTGGTATCTGACCCACCCTCGCCTCGTTCCAAGCTAGTGATGTAGTTGAGTCTGGCAGTCAGACAATAGTGAGGTCACTGGGATTCTGGTGGGTGAGAGTCTGACGCCCTCCCTCGTTGGATAAATGGTCTGCAACTCTTCACCTCACGAGTTAGCTTTTGGGGTTGGAATTTAGGTGGATCGACGACAATAATCTTGGCTGGAACCAGTCCGCCACATGTAATCAAGGGGTGTCAACCGACCCCTTCGTCGAAAAATCACATTGTGTAGCTAGATAAATTCATTTAGGTATATACACAACAAATAACACCCCTTGGCTTTTTTATGAGTTCACTCTTTTTATATTTTGACCCCCTTAATGAAAATCCTGGCTTCTCCACTGGCTGGAACAGGTGTATAACAACCTGTTTATTCGAGGGGTCATTTTGAGTTAGAGGGAATTAATATGGCACCTTTTCTTTTTCTAATTTTGGATCAACTACCTTGCTGCTAACCGGATTATTCATCTTAATTTTGTTTTATTTCACTAACCACTCTGCACAGAATACATGAACTAAGTTTTTTTAATATGATATGTACAGTAATCATTAATGGAAATTTTATCATGTTGCAACTAGCATGCTCAGCCATCCACGGAGTATACTGTTACAAGTTGTTCTAATCATTATCATAAATCGCCAAGCCAGTTATCTGAAGAAATGATCAAGTGCATTTCAGCCATATATTGTCAGCTTGCTGATCCACCTTTCCTTGGCTATGATTTAAGCTCATCTCCCATCTCAGTCTCATCATCAACACTGGAATCATTTCCTGAAGCTCAGACCGATATGCAGGGCCAGAAACGCAGAGAAAATTCATCGTCAAACTATCCGTTCCACATTGACGAGTCGAAGAGATTTAGCGGATGTTTTGTTAGGATGGTTGAGGTGCAAGGGCTGTGTCGAGATAGTCAAAGCTTAAATGCTGCAGAACACGCACTAAAACAATTTAGGTAAGCCTAATATTTCAATTTGTAGTTTCAGTTTACAGCTACAAGGGCTGTGTCGAGATAGTCACAACACACTCTCTCTGTGTTGTGAGCCTATGGATCAATCTAAGCAGTTTATGATTATATCTTATAGAGCTTTCTTAAATTACAATCGGATTAGATACTCGAAGTTATCCATTACACAAATCTATACGAATTGTCTATTTAAAATGAGTTGGAAAGCATGCACCTGTGAACCAAAGCCTAAGTGCATCGACATGACAACTGCTGGTATTTTAGTGTTGATACAACAACAACAACTACGCCTGAGACATGACGAGTCTTAAACTTGTCAATGCAGGTATCTAGTCTCAAAGTTGGAAGAAGTTGACCCTAGGGAAATGAGACATGAAGAGAAACTAGCTTTTTGGATTAATGTCCACAATGCACTAGTAATGCATGTAAGCTTCACTGTGATTCCTGCTTTATACTCATTCAAATGTGAAAAATTATGAACCACCACTTTATATGTTTTTACAGGCATTTTTGGTTCATGGGATTCCAAGAAGTAATCTCAAGAGAGCATCTCTACTTCTTAAGGTAAGAAGATTCTATTGATATTGTGACAGTTTGTTGTGTAATCGGTTCCTTATAACTCGGTGAACTTTCCAATTTTCAGGCCGCTTACAATATTGGAGGGAATACAGTAAGTGTGGACATGATTCAGAATTCTATACTACGATGCCAGTTGCCTCGTCCTGGTCAGGTAATTAAATTCAATTCCTGTGTTTCAGTATTTGAGAACTGTCATACATTTCCTCTTTGGTTTCATATGTATTATTTAAATGATTAATTTGTTAGACTTGTGTCTGGTTTCATTGGGCTTATTGAAGTTAATTTTGCCTGTAGTGGCTTCAATCATTGTTCTTTACTAAACAAAGATTTAAAGCTGGAGATGCACGAAAAGGATATGCATTAGAGCATCCAGATCCTCGCCTACGCTTTGCTCTCTGCTCAGGAAACCATTCTGATCCTGTGGTATGCACTGACAAAAACATAAGAATAACTGTCTTTTTTCCGCTCTTGCCTAAAACTAATGATGTCTTGATCGATAAGAATAACTGTTTTCTTGATTTTTGCCTATATGTTTTGACTTGTTTTTCCATTGTATGTGTGTAGCTTCGATTGTACACATCGAAGAGAGTGTTCGAAGAACTAGAAGTGGCTAAAGACGAGTACATTCAGGCAAACGTAAGGGTACACAAAGAACAGAAACTAGTCCTTCCAAAGAATGTGGAATCTTATATTAAAGAGGTGAATTTGTGTCCATCTGGTTTATTCGAAACAATAGAGCAAGCATTACCTTCTTATTTGAGGAAGGAAATTCAGCAGCCCGAGCAACGAAAGTTGTGGAAGAAAATTGATTGGATTCCTCACAACTTCACTTTCCGCTACCTTATTTCAAGCGAATTGTTTGAGTGAGCTTCACAGTCTCGTGCCTTTCTGATCGTCGTCACTGTCAATGGTTATGAATGTCAGATGAATCACAATCAAAACCTGTTGAACAGCAGCTTTGAGAAAAAGTAACTTAAGATCTGGAATATATTAAAGGGGCTATTCAGATTGAAAAGTGGTTCAATTTTTGAGCTCCTAGTCTAACAAAGTGCTGTAGTTGTGATTCAACTGTCATTCCTAATGAGTGTACCCTCATTTTCCCAAGCGAGTTTGTAACAATATGGATGGTTAAAAACCACATTTATTCTCTTATTTTTTTTTCTTTTACCTTTTTGTGGGAGCTTTTTTGGTTATTGTAGTAGCTCTAAATAGATCAATGGTATGCAAAAAGCCAATAGGCATAATTCAACAAGATTAAAGTGAGGTTTAGGAGTGACAAACGGGCGGGGCGGGGCGGATATGGTTCTAGTCGAAAATGGGTAATGAAAAAACGGATCAATTATCCCACCCGACCCATATTTAATACGGATAAAAAAACGGGTTAACCGGTGGATAATATTGGTAACCATATTACCTATGAATTCTTGCATATGATCACTTTTGTTAGAATTAGGAACCCCAAATAAAAAAGTTAGACCCATTGGTTATCCATTGGTTACTCATTGGTTATCCATTTTCTAAATGGATAATATGGTTCTTATCCATATTTGATCCATTTTTAAAAAATTCATTATCCAGCCCATATTTTAGTGGATAATATGGGTGGTTAACGGTTTTTATTTAACTATTTTGCCACCCCTAGTGAGTCATTACAAATTTGGGAACCTTTCTAAATCTGGATTTAGTGGAAGGAAACTTCATTCATTTTAGTCATCAAACTTTGAAAAAAATTTGAAATCTGTTTCTCAGCACCAATAAAGAAAAAAGTAGTTGATACTGATACAAAATATAATTTTAAACGAGAGAGGATCCAACATTTTAACACAAATTGCAGTCGCTATGCTTTTTGAGTAGAGCTGTCAAACGGGTCAGCCCAGCCCAGCCTAGCCCAAGCCTCGTGGGCTTTTAAATTTAGTGGTCTAGGACTGGCTGGCCGGCCATATGAATGGACCTTAAATTGGCCAACCCAATCCAGCTCTAAGAGGGCCGCGGGCTGGGGCAGGCCGGCCCTTCAAATTTTTTTAGAAAAAAAGAATTTCTTTAAATCCTTAAATATTTTTTGTGACGTAGTCGATTAATCATATAAACAATCTCTGTTTGCTTAGAGCGTACAAAAAACTTGATATCTGACGAGGAATCTCGTAATTGAAATGTAAATTCTCTATATCTCTAGCTTTTCTTATTGAAACATTTTTCGGAAAATATTTTCTTTCATACCAAGCACACCAAATAAGCGAAGTGTCAAGCGACGTCTGCTCTAGCCTCTAGTGGTTGGAGCTAGCACCTTCACCATCAACTGATATTTTAGAGATTCGAGTCACGGTAAGTGAGGCCATTCTTGACTCTCCGGGGTGGGTGGGGGTTTAAAAAAAGCCACTCTAGTCTTGTAAATTATGAAGAACATTTTCTGGTTACATTTGTTTGCTAGCTTGGACCAGAGACTTATGTTGAATGACATTTTGAACTGCATAAAAAAGGTAGCCAGGTGCATAATGCATCTCGCGTTCACGTAGTGTTTACCCTCGAATCCGGATAACAATTGAATTTATATGGGGTTTTAAGGATCCGTGAACTAAAAGATACAAAAGGTTTTTAGGTTAAGGAAAATAAAGATAAAGACTCAACAATTGCTGTTAAAGTAAATAATCGCAGAATATAATATTGCTTAGAACAGTTGTGCTTGATGATCCTCAAGAATTTAGAGAGATCCCCCTTTATACATTCTGATTAAGGGTAAAAATAAGGTAGGTCAATTGATTACATCGTGGATCCCTGTAATTACGCCTTAATGGCCTGAAGTGGTTGAGAAAATCACGTTTGGGCGAGATATCCGGCGACGCTTGGTTATCCGTTACGAGTCCGGCTTTCGACCTTGTGTGTTTCTCCATCCGGTGGTGACTCCTATCGAGCTCTGTAACGGTCTCGAAATGACTCGACCTCGGTTGTAGACGTGGCCGTCGTTCTACCTTGCATCCAGGTCGGGTTTGATGGCCCCGATTTGCTCCGGTCCGGACCCAACCCGGTCGGGCTCAAGCAAAAAAGGGTATCACCTAATACAACCCTAGATAGGTTAGCATGAAGGCGAACATGAGGATAGAAGGTCAATAGGTAGTCGAGCAATTTCTCAATTTCTCTCTTTTCTGTGGGAGGAGATGGTTCTAGTTTAGAGCATCTGTTCCCTCTTTTCTTTATTATTATTATTATTATTATTATTATTATTATTATTATTATTATCCAAAACAGTCTTTTTATTTCACACAAGGTACAAATCTTCTATCTTCTTCAAGTCCCACTTATACGATCATATTAGGTACTTTCTTCATTCACTTTTAGTTGACAAGTATTCCAAAAATAGATTTTTATTTTTACTTGTCACTTTTCGCATATCAAGACAAAATTATTTTATTTTTCCAGTTTTGCCCATAACATTAATTACTTATTCCAAATTATTTTTCAAATTCATTCAAACTATACATTAATTAATATGAGTATCATGGTAAATTATGTACTTTATTTATTATCTATATTATTATAAAAGCATGAATATAATATTGGTTTACCAAAATAGCCTTAAAATATTGAATAATTTTGGACAAGATTGTAATATTATAATTTGTCCTGATCTAGATTCGCATGGAGTCCTAATTCTAATCAAGTTTAAACTATTCATAATATGTCCCCACTGTGCTTTGAAGTTCCAAAGCTTACCAATTCCAGAGACCAAAAGAACTCTTTAATTTGAACCGATTCGTTGCCTCAATTCTTTAACAAGGCTTTGTGCTGGCAGCACTAAAATTAACTTTATGGAGGTAATTTAATTATATTCATCATATGAATTCTTTATCTAAAAATTTATTCCGTGCATCTATCTCAATGAAGAATAAACTATCCCATAATTATTTCATGCTATCCTTATTTTATTATAAAAAAACGTCTTTCAACAAAAAAGGACGCAACTTAATGAAATACATATGGGAAGTCTTTGGTTACGTTGTCGGTTGTCCAATTGCATTCTTTTATGTATGTATATTACTTTGTATAAGCCGTAACGTGCTCCAAGTCAAATTTATTTAAAATAGAAACTCTTTCATGCTCCATCCGTTTTCTTCAATAACAAAAGTTATTCGTTTGATGTAGTTAGTAATATGAGACTATCATATCTTTATCCATTTTTTTAAATTCTTGTAGATGAACAGAGAACACGTGACCTAATTAGCAAATCTTTTCTCCCATATAAGTTAATTAGCAATTTGATTATGCCTTTCTAATAACTTCTAAGAAATATTTTTCCTATCATAAAATTAATTCAAAAGACTACAAAAGTGAATCAATAATTGCGCGGGACATAGTATTTGTCTTTTCTTTTGTCAGTCTAAAGGGTGTTCAAATATTTTTGTTGTTGAGCTTTGTATAAAGTTGTTTCTAGAAAAAAAAATCCAATCTACCATTTTTTGTATTTATATTTCTTTCGCTTCATGTTGCTATTGTTTAAAGATGGTTTCTCAGCTAATATGTTCTGTTTTTTATGTTTTTGTTTCGTCTAGATGTGTAATAGTTTAAATTGTATAAAGTGAAAAATTTAATTTTACATGTGAAGTTTTCGCTCTACCTTTTAACGACGACTATAATCTATTTCCACTATAATTCAGAAAATGGACAATACTGCAATTTGGAATTAGTTGATATGGATTGTACGGGCATCAAATATTTTTGTTACTCAAAGGTTCTCCAATGCATCAACAATTTTGTTGGGCAGACTTTCGAGATGAACAAAATCTGATACTAGCTAGGCTAATGACAATATGACATGGTTTCCTCATTCTCAGATATTTATATCAAATAATTAAAGAACAAGTAAGAAAATATTTAAGAATATAAATATGTGAGAAAGAGACAGAAGAAAGGTTGGTAAGAGTCAACACCACTAATGATTCTGCAAGCATAAAGATCGAAAAGTAAAATGTCAAATCGATCTTTTTACTCTTTAAAAATAAAAAATTGGTGGATAAAATTATATTACGATTAAATATTCAAAACAAGCAATGAACTAATATTAAGAATCTGAATCAACATAAAATAAATTATTTTTTTTAACACCAAATAATTAAATCTTTCAATTAATTATTTCGCAAGAGAATCCAATTCAATTATTTTTTAAATTCATCTTATGAGTAAAATTATTTTTCAAGTTAAAACAAAATCTTAGGGTACATAAATTTATTCCATAAATAGAGCGTTAGAGATTAAAAAAATTAGAACACAAAGTAAAAAGGGTTAGTATAGTATTAAGAATCAAAAAGGCCATACAAGTATCTGAGGAAGCACAATCAAAGTTAAATTCTGAACAGGAATAAGCTTCAAGACCATATTATAAAGAGACGACTATGGTATAACGGGATTATCATTTGTAGATTCCTCTGACGGAATCGAAACAATATTGACATGTCATGCATTACTTGCAAATGTTAGATCAAGAGGTATACATCTCACTTTAGATTTGATATACCTTTAGAGTTGAGGTCATACAACTCACTTTAGATTTGATATATCTTTTCAAACAACTTAAATAACCATCACAAATATATCAAAACATTGCAATGGTACTAAATTTATAAGGAAAGTAAAATTTGTAATATGGAATGAAACGCTTATGGCTAACCATCGAATGACCGAAATAAGGAGTTTTAGAGATATATTGGATATCAATGAACATTTGGTGAAAAGGTAATGGTTTAAGAGGTGATTTCTGTCAGTACTACTAATAGTTCCAAAATTGACGAAAGCAGCGATTGTAAAAGCTAGCTTACCAAAATTATGTTTATGGCTTCAAACGAAAATGATTCAATTGACAAAAAAATAAAAGTAAGAACAGATCCAGAATTCAGTGACTTTTTGCTTCGTCTCCGAAACGAAGTAGAGCATATAATAAGAGATGGGTTCTTCTAGAACACTTAGTTATCAACTCAATGGTAATAGTAGTGAATTTAATAAGGGAATATTTTCATTATTAGATTAAAATACAATTTGTGCAAATCACATAATAGAAATTAAAGAACTATCTTTGCTAGCAGAAATGAATATGTTGATTAACTAAATAAAAGGTTGATTACTAAGTTTTATGGTAAAAATATTTTTTTTGTAATTTTTGACTCAGCAGAATATGATAC